GTCGATAAATCGCCTTGTACTGTTGAAAACTTCAGTGCTGGCGGACTACCCTACCCGTTATGTTCCACGTTCAATTTGCCGCGGTTAAAGTACAGGTAAATTAGCTCTATACCTACATTCCACCAACACGTGTAATGGTTACGACAGGTAATGTCAAAATAGGCAAAATAGCGGTGACCATTATAAGAGCACATTGCAGTAGGGCGGGTGTGTATAAGGTCGTCGCCCCGACCTGCAGTGAATGGCATGAGGACCACACCCTATGTTTGCCCCGCACAATACAGATTCTCTAGATCTGTCTTCTCATAACGCTAATCTTCGTACACCCATTAATGCTGGCTTCAAATAGTGTCATGGGTGGTACTGATGATTTAATATATATAATGCTTTTCACAAAAACGTATACGTATTGCTATTTCTATCACATTTGAGCTGTGTCTTACATAGGTGCGTTTGGGTATTTTACTTCTGTGTGTTTGGGTATTTTACATCTGTGTATGTGTTTGGGTATTTTACTTCTGTGTGTTTGGGTATTTTACATCTGTGTATGTGTTTGGGTATTTTACATATGTGCATGTGTTTTTGGGTATTTTACTTCTGTGTATGTGTTATGGTATTTTACATGTGTGTATGTGTTTGGGTATTTTACATGTGTGTGTGTGTTTGGGTATTTTACATGTGTGTATGTGTTTGGGTATTTTACATGTGTGTATGTGTTTGGGTATTTTACATATGTGTATGTGTTTGGGTATTTTACATGTGTGTATGTGTTTGGGTATTTTACATATGTGTGTTTAGGTATTTTACATGTGTGTATGTGTTTGAGTATTTTACTTATGTGTGTTTAAGTATTGTACATGTGTGTGTGTTTGGTATTTTACATGTTTTGGGGGGTATTTTACATATGTGTGTTTGACTATTGTACATGTGTGTGTGTTTGGGTATTTTACATGTGTGCGTTTAGGCATTTTACATGTTTGTGTTTTGTCATTTTACATGTGTGTGTTTGGGTATTTTACATGTGTGTGTTAGAGTGTGTTTCATGTGTGCGCTTTACAACAGGTGTGTGTTTGGGTATTTTACAACATGTGTGTGATTTGGCATATTACACGAGTGTGTTTGGGTATATCATAACATGTGTGTGTTTTAGTATTTTACAACACGTGTGTGTTTGGATATTTTACAGCATGTGTGTGTTTGGGTATTTTACAGCATATGTGTGTTTGGGTATTTTACAACGTGTGTGTGTGTGTTTGGGTATTTTACAGCATGTGAGTGTTTGGGTATTTTGCAGTATGTGTGTGTTTGGGTATTTTACAGCATGCGTGTGTTTGGGTATTTTACAGCATGTGTGTGTTTGGGTATTTACAGCATGTGAGTGTTTGGGTATTTTACAGCATGTGAGTGTTTGGGTATTTTATAGCATGTGAGTGTTTGGGTATTTTGCAGTATGTATGTGTTTGGGTATTTTACAGCATGTGAGTCTTTGGGTAGTTTACAGCATGTGTGTGTTTGGGTATTTTGCAGTATGTGTGTGTTTGGGTATTTTACAGCATGTGAGTGTTTGGGTATTTTAAAGCATGTTAGTGTTTGGGTATTTTACAGCATGTGTGTGTTTGGGAATTTTACAGCATGTGTGTGTTTGGGTATTTTACAGCATGTGTGTGTTTGGGTATTTTACAGCATGTGTGTGTTTGGGTATTTTACAGCATGTGAGTGTTTGGGTATTTTAAAGCATGTTAGTGTTTGGGTATTTTACAGCATGTGTGTGTTTGGGTATTTTACAGCATGTGTGTGTTTGGGTATTTTACAGCATGTGTGTGTTTGGGTGAATCAATGTGTTTTTAACACAAGGATGCCATCTATGATCATCATTCAAAATGGTCGTTGTCTTCAGCAGTCATGTCAGTAAGTCATGTTATTGAAACTTTCATTCCACGTGGCTCTTCATGATCATTGCCACACGTGATTACCAACATAAGAAGGTAATCTGATTGGTTCCATCACATACCGACAGGGACTCATCTGTTTGTTTAGAATAGGTCGTTCTACATTTAGCGGTCGGAAGTTTTCAGTGGTAGTTACCAAGGGCTTTCTTGTGTCGTGGATCAGCTTGGAACGCGCTGGTCAGTTGGTCAAACATGGAGTTCCTGCATTGTGATTTGGTGGTGTACTGGCAGGGAATCGATTTTATTATGTATTAGTATTCTAAAGCTCATACACCGACCAAGTATTTGTCGCCTTGATCTTAACAAATGTTGCTTCCAATCAGTTTGACTAGAAGTTAATCAGGTGTATTGTATTAACGCGTAAATGGAAATGAATGTATGTTACCAAACTGGAGATCCAAAACACAGAAGTCGGTGCTAACTATCCTTGTCTTAAAACGTCTTTTCACATGTAAAAACTGTACGGTCGGGTCCACTCTCACTACTCCGTTACGTACAACACATCCCGGCGACGATGGGGGGGCATGGTTTCACCGTAAAGAGCAGACAGTTCGTACTACATTACAGTAAGTGAGTGAGTGAGTATGGTTTTATGCCGCTTTTAGCAATATTCCAGCAATATCACGGCGGGGGACACCAGAAATGGGCTTCACACATTGTATCCATGTCGGGATTCGAACTCGGGTCTTCGGTGTGACGAACGAACGCTTTAACCACTAGGCTACCCGACCGCCCCTTCTACATTACAACATTTAACATATGCAGAGTTTGAATTAAGCGCCTGCCCGTATGCCCATGGCAGGAAGATCTTGTGTCAGACCGGAAGTTCAACACTGTAAGGGTCCGTGTAGCCTGCAGTAAATGCATGTGTGGATATATTTGTCACAGCATGCTGCAGTTGTTTTTTAATGAGGGCCTGAATAGTTGAGTCAGGGCCTGCAGCTTCTAAACCCTGTTGGCCCTGATGGCAGCCTGACATATTTGTTTTTATTTTTCCAACAGTGAACATATGTACAGTTATATTTGGGATTTCACCTTCTTTATGGAGTTGAGTCCTATCTGGGATTCCACAAAACTGGTAGTCTAGATCAGTACTTTGTGTACCCCTCTGACTTGTATGACTTCCTCTTTTGTGGAAGCATCGGTGGCTGAGTGGGTTAGATCGCTGACTTTGTTTGCTAATATTTTGGTGCCTCACTCTGGGAAGTATGGGTTCGAATCACAGATGGGAGTAAACCCTAAAGTGTACTTAAGGATTGAATTTGCATTTGTTGACGTTCATCAGCTGATGAAGACAGTGCCTCAAGTGAGCAAACTCCATGAGTAGCCAGTGTAATCGCCATATGCCTGTATGACCAATTCTACCCTTCTCCTTATTCCTCCAGTGAGTCTTCTGATACGGGGCGGTCGGGTAGCCTAGTGGTTAAAGCGTTCGCTCGTCACGCTGAAGACCCGGGTTCGATTCCCGACATGGGTACAATGTGTGAAGCCCATTTCTGGTGTCCCCCGCCGTGATATTGCTGGAATATTGCTAAAAGCGGCGTAAAACTATACTCACTCACTCACTCACTCTTCTGATACGACCAAAACGTAACTGCTGCCACTCCTGATGCAATGCAGCCTCTAAAGCAGCTACATTCTGTACTGGTGGATCCATTGCCTGCAGCTGACGTCCAAGAATGTCTCAAACATGTTCCAATGGATTGAAATCTAGACTCACCGCGAACCTAGGCTAAACGTCATCAGCGTGTCCTTGCATGAACGCAGTCGCAGCACGAGGACGATGGGGTCTAGCGTTGTCGTCCTTGATTGTCAAAATGTGGAAGAACAGGATTGAGGATGTCCTGGATGTAACGATCGCCGTTGAGATTGCCTCGTACTGTCACCATGTCCAGTGTACAGTCATGAGATATTGCTCCCCACACCACTACGGACTCTCCACCAGACGGGACTGTTGGTACAATGTTCCTAGGGGTATACGCAGTGTTTCAGTGTCACCATGTCCGGTTTACAGTCATGAGATATTGCTCCCCACACCACTACGGAGTCTCCACCAGACGGGACAGTTGGTACACTGTTCCTAGGGGTATACGCAGTGTTTCAGTGTCACCAAACCCACATTCGCCCATCTGGGACGTGCAGCACGAATCTGCTTTAATCAGACCAATGGATCTGTCGCCTCGTTCTCAGATTCCAAAGACGTCGAGCCATACACTTGGCCAATCGAGGAAAGGGAAGCCTTTGTTCTGTCAGAGCTTTACTCGCAGCAAAGGGTTGTCGCCTCACAAGGCGTGCTGGAGCCCCGTCTTCCCATACAGTTGTCTTCCGGGGTGACCCTGGTCGTGGATTGTCCTTTACTTCACGTGTCTGCCGGTGTCTTTTAACGAGTCTGCTGATGACGTCCAATGGCTCTGTATGACATACCCGTGTCACTAATGCCACTAATTTGCCAACAGAGTGCCTCTGACAGCCTCCTGCGTGCCATGGTTACATGTGCTGACTAAACAATCGGAATAATGCCACTTTATATAACCTTACTTGCATCAACACAAAAGTGCTTTTCCCGAAACTCGAGAATATTATGGTTCGCGTTCATGTGTCTGTGTGTTTGGGCGACACGGTCAGTTATTGTCATAACTATTCGTCACGCCGAAGACCTGGGTCCGATTCTCCACATGGGTACAATGTGTGAAGCCCATGTCTGGTGTCCACCGCCGGAATAGTGCTGGAATATAGCTAAAAGCGGCGTAAAACCATACTCACTCACTCACTGTCATGACTTTACTCGAGATCGACAGCCATTCTATGAAACTTGATTTTTTATAAACGGGTATATCACCGAGAAAGGTCCGTTTATGGTAAATATATATTAGATATACCTTTAGTTATCGAGAAACATGTTTATAGTTCCGATATGGCTTCTTCCCCCTGAAGACAGAGACTACTTGGGGGGGGGGGGGGGGGGCCAACCGCATGACTCAGCTCCAGGCAGAAATTGTGCAATTCTTGTACATAGTTGCATCCCTTAGGTGACAAAGTCCGCTTGTCGTGGGTCCAAAGTGCAGATTGGACCAGCTATGATCCATGGTCTGTCTACATGCAAATGGTCGTGAGTTTTAAGAGTAGACACCCAGTGCCCGTCGCCAATTGTCGTCTTTAAGTGATCGCCGTGACATCGCAAAAAGTCCACAGCACACCTGTGTTAGACGACACATTACACAGCCATTGCTAGGGCAGCTTGAGACGAGGTAGTCGTCAGGATGTTACGGGTCGTGCTATTGACGTTCTGTGTCGGCGTTGCTGCTGGTTTTTGGGGCAGTAAGTTACGTTTATTGTTCTACAGTTACAAATGTTTCATTATTTCTGCAGGGAAGTATACGGTGGACGGGTGGTGTAAGATTAGCGTTATACCCCGGAGAAGCTGTTTGTCACACCTGGACCTTAGGTTAACCTTCTCGTTTATGCGATTTTTTATTGCCAAAGATGTTAAAGACGCTTTTCCAAGTCTTGCCACGCTCTGGCGTACATGTTTATTAGTTATATCGGGCATAGTGATGTTGTTGACAATGGTTTAATAGTTATATCGGGCATAGTGATGTTGTTGACAATGGTTTATTAGTTATACCGGGCATAGTGATGTTGTTGACAATGGTTTATTAGTTATATCGGGCATAGTGATGTTGTTGACAATGGTTTAATAGTTATACCGGTCATAGTGATGCTATTGACAATGGCTTATTAGTTATACCGGGCATAGTGATGTTGTTGACAATGGGTTATTAGTTATACCGGGCATAGTGATGTTGTTGACAATGGTTTATTAGTTATACCGGGCATAGTGATGTTGTTGACAATGGTTTATTAGTTATACCGGGCATAGTGGTGTTGTTGACAATGGTTTATTAGTTATACCGGTCATAGTGATGTTGTTGACAATGGTTTATTAGTTATACCGGTCATAGTGATGTTGTTGACAATGGTTTATTAGTTATACCGGTCATAGTGATGTTGTTGACAATGGTTTATTAGTTATACCGGTCATAGTGATGTTGTTGACAATGGTTTATTAGTTATACCGGTCATAGTGATGTTGTTGACAATGGTTTATTAGTTATACCGGTCATAGTGATGTTGTTGACAATGGTTTATTAGTTATACCGGTCATAGTGATGTTATTGACAATGGCTTATTAGTTATACCGGTCATAGTGATGTTATTGACAATAGTTTATTAGTTATACCGGTCATAGTGATGTTGTTGACAATGGTTTATTAGTTATACCGGGCATAGTGATGTTGTTGACAACGGTGTTTTATTATTAATAATGACCATGCTGTTTAGTTCGTGTTTCTGTGGTTTGTGTCAACAGCCCCATGTAGTACTGTCAATTCAGTCTGTTACATTCTGTAATCTTCCTGCTTTTGTATATGAAACATTCATGATACTGTAATCATCATAACATTTAATGTAAGGATATTTTCTTTTCAGCCCCCGACTGGAATCATTTGAAAGGTATGTTTTACACACTGATGTAGCCAATTGTAGCACGGTATTTAGTTAAAATGTTATTTAGTTTAAATCAGGCTTGAACCACACTAGAAACAAACTGGTACCTGTGCAATATTTAAACAAGTTGTTTGTCTTACCTGTTCCCCCGGGTCATCGCTGACCTTCATTCTCCGTATCTATATCCAGTCTATAGGGGTGTAGCTGCAGTATTTATTTTGTAACTAGACCTTGCGCTTCAAAATTTCCTCTTGACATCAAGTGTTTCCCACGTTGGGTCATATCGCGGCAAACACATATTATGATAATTCAGGGCTTGATGTTCTTGTGTGGAAACAAAGTTCCTGGAGTTCGACGATTACCTGAGTGGATTCCAGGGTGGGGCGGGGCGGGGCGGGGCGGGGCGGGGCGGGGCGGGGGGATTCACAAGGCGTGTGTATCTCTACAACCGTCAGCCCCGTTGTGCGTGGATCGATGTGTAAGGGGGTTTAGCTTTGAGGATAATGTGACATGAACGTGTCTGAATGGACATCCATATATCTCTTCAAGTGAGTGAGTGAGTGAGTTAGGTTTAACGCCGCTTTTAACAGTATGCCAGTTATATCACGGCGTGTCAGCTTAATGTGGGAGGAAAGCTCGAAGTGATGCAGGTATCAGACGTTTACCACTTCGGTGAAATCCACGAGTACGGGTATGGTGCTGACAAACCTATAAACATAATCGGGGCGAACCGGGATTCGAACCCACAATCATAGGTTTCTGGCGTGCCCAAGGGACGCAACTCTGCACAGCGAATCGCGGCGCCTTAGACGACTATATCTCTTCAAACAAAAGATATATTTTTGAAACATTGAATACCAAGGTACCTACTGCAGGGATTAATTGTAACTGATTTCCCCGGAGTGTATTTAGTCTACTGATGGTACCTAGCAATGTCAACTATTACTACCATGATATTTACATTACTATCGCCTTTGTCGCCTAAGGTCGATGGACAGTTGCAATGCACCGAGACTTCGGTCGCCAAGTCCCTGTACTAAATGTTACGAGGTGATTTCCAAATTCAAAGCAAAGATAAAAACAGAAATCGGTTTGTACCGGACTGAATTGTGAAATCAGTTTGTTTGTTTGTTGTTTAACGCCGCACTCAGCAATATTCCAGCAATATGACCTCGGTCTCTAACTAATCGAGTCTGAACCAGACAATCCAGTGATTGACATCATGCGCATCGATACGATGACTGCATCAACCAAGTCAGCGAGCCTGACCACCCGATCCCGTTAGTCGCCTCTTACGACAAGCATGAGTTGCTGAAGACCTTATCTGACCCGGTTCTTCACGGCTGGTGACATCAGTAAATGACCACACAAGATATATGAATAATTAAGAAATGTTATTGGAACACACAGTTTTAGGTTTACAATCACAAGACGCAGTACAAGGGTCAAATAAGTGGAAACACGAATGTCCGGAATTCGTCACTGTCGAATGTCTTGAAAGAGACCGTGCTCCATTCCTGAATCAGGACTAGTGTTGGAAGCTGGCGGTGTTTTCAGTCAGGTATCCAGTCGCAAGTAGATAAGACGTAAGGCCTCGACTGCCCACCTGTCTCCCTTGTAAAGGAACAGGCAACCTTCAAGAAACGGTCACACCACGAAACTTTCCAAACGTGCAAGCTGTCCTGGGCGGTATGGAACACCACAGGGGACATTTTGACCTTGAAAAATGTCGCGTTGTTGCATTGTCGCGCTTTGGTAAAATAAAAAAAGATTATTCAAAGCGCGACAATGCGACATTGCGACAAATGGCCAAAATGACATGACAGGTAACAGAGGATGTCTACGTGACATGGCAGGGAACAAGGGATGTCTACGTGACATGGCAGGGAACAGAGGATGTCTACGTGACATGACAGGGAACAGAGGATGTCTACGTGACATGACAGGGAACAAGGGATGTCTACGTGACATGGCAGGGAACAGAGGATGTCTACGTGACATGACAGGGAACAGAGGATGTCTACGTGACATGACAGGGAACAGAGGATGTCTACGTGACATGACAGGGAACAAGGGATGTCTACGTGACATGACAGGGAACAGAGGATGTCTACGTGACATGACAGGGAACAAGGCATGTCTACGTGACATGACAGGGAACAGAGGATGTCTACGTGACATGACAGGGAACAGAGGATGTCTACGTGACATGACAGGGAACAAGGGATGTCTATGTGACATTACAGGGAACAGAGGATGTCTACGTGACATGACAGGGAACAGAGGATGTCTACGTGACATGACAGGGAACAGAGGATGTCTACGTGGCATGGCAGGGAACAGAGGATGTCTACGTGACATGACAGGGAACAAGGGATGTCTACGTGACATGACAGGGAACAAGGGATGTCTACGTGACATGGCAGGGAACAAGGGATGTCTACGTGACATGACAGGGAACAAGGGATGTCTACGTGACATGGCAGGGAACAGAGGATGTCTACGTGACATGACAGGGAACAGAGGATGTCTACGTGACATGACAGGGAACAGAGGATGTCTACGTGACATGACAGGGAACAAGGGATGTCTACGTGACATGACAGGGAACAGAGGATGTCTACGTGACATGACAGGGAACAAGGCATGTCTACGTGACATGACAGGGAACAGAGGATGTCTAAGTGACATGACAGGGAACAGAGGATGTCTACGTGACATGACAGGGAACAAGGGATGTCTATGTGACATTACAGGGAACAGAGGATGTCTACGTGACATGACAGGGAACAGAGGATGTCTACGTGACATGACAGGGAACAGAGGATGTCTACGTGGCATGGCAGGGAACAGAGGATGTCTACGTGACATGACAGGGAACAAGGGATGTCTACGTGACATGACAGGGAACAAGGGATGTCTACGTGACATGGCAGGGAACAAGGGATGTCTACGTGACATGACAGGGAACAAGGGATGTCTACGTGACATGACAGGGAACAGAGGATGTCTACGTGACATGACAGGGAACAAGGGATGTCTACGTGACATTGCAGGGAACAAGGGATGTCTACGTGACATTACAGGGAACAGAGGATGTCTACGTGACATTACAGGGAACAGAGGGTGTCTACGTGACATTGCAGGGAACAGAGCATGTCTTGACATGTTTGTCTGTTTCCTTTTTTGTTGTTTAGTGCCACACTAAGCTATATCTCAGCGGCCTGTTAACAATCAAATCTGGACCTGACAAACCAGTGATTGATATCGTGAGCAACGGTCAACGCCATCGGTGTACAATGACACGCAATCAAACAAATCACAGAGCCTGACCACCTGATGTATTAATTCGGCCTATTACGACCAGCATTCTTGTACTGTAGTCTTATTTATTCAGAAGATGAAATATTGGGATTGTCTCGTCAGCAGGTTTATCTCATCATGATTGAGCCTGCTATAACGTATGCGTAAAACAGTACTTTATAACATGACGAATTTCCTGAAATAAGGACTAAATGCATCACTTCATCAATAACGTATGTACTTCATTAATGAGCTGGTTAAACCCCAACGTGTGTAAATACCCCGATTAACTCTTTATGTGAGATATGCACTTCTATTATCAACAAAACAAATTCAGGAAACATGTTCACTACAGTCTTGTTTCACAAAATATGATTCTAAAAAGTCGGGAAGATTTGACCTCCTCTTTATTGAGTGTCCAAGATGTTTGACAGTCTAAAGAACGTGGTGTACTGCTGCACTGCCTTTATTGGGCAGGTGTGCTGTCATCCACATAGAGTACACGTACTGCTGAATATCATATACAATATTACATGAGAGTGAGTGGGTGAGTATGGTTTTACGCCGCTTTTAGCAATTTTCCAGCAATATCACTGCGGGGAACACATGAGATAGGCTTCACAAATTGTACCCATGTCGGGAATCGAACCCGGGTGTTCGGCGTGACAGCGAACGCTTCAACGAGGCTACCCGACCGTCCTTATATCACATGAGTACATAAGTAATATAATTAATAATATCAGTTGTCCATTTGGTGCCTGCCATGTCTGCGCTGCATCATAAATCAACACATTCCATAAACAATCTATGAAATAACATCTTTCTCCTGAGGCAATTCACTTACTACATGTTGTGGCTCAACTGACATAAAAAAGCGAACAGTACCAATCTACGTTCAACATGTGCTTCCAGTGACATGGGATGCGGCCGACTGCTACAGCTCCCGAGGCTTCGCCGACATGCCGCGGACTGAGAAAGATGCTTGGCGGGAGGGATGGACGATGATCTCCGACTGTGATGGTAGGTACAGTTGAACCTCGTTAATCAGGACAGACGTTGATATTTGACGGTGATGGTAGGTACAGTTGAACCTCGTTAATCAGGACAGACGTTGATATTTGACGGTGATGGTAGGTACAGTTGAACCTCGTTAATCAGGACAGACGTTGATATTTGACGTTGATGGTAGGTACAGTTAAACCTCGTTAATCAGGACAGACGTTGATATTTGACGGTGATGGTGGGTACAGTTGAACCTCGTTAATCAGGACAAACGTTGATATTTGACTGTGATGGTAGGTACAGTTGAACCTCGTTAATCAGGACAAACGTTGATATTTGACGGTGATGGTAGGTACAGTTGAACCTCGTTAATCAGGACAAACGTTGATATTTGACTGTGATGGTAGGTACAGTTGAACCTCGTTAATCAGGACAGACGTTGGTATTTGACGGTGATGGTAGGAAAAGTTGAACCTCGTTAATCAGGACAGACGTTGATATTTGACGGTGATGGTAGGTACAGTTGAACCTCGTTAATCAGGACAGACGTTGATATTTGACTGTGATGGTGGGTAAAGTTGAACCTCGTTAATCAGGACAGACGTTGGTATTTGACGGTGATGGTAGGAAAAGTTGAACCTCGTTAATCAGGACAGACGTTGATATCCGACCGTGATGGCAGGTACACTTAAATCCCGTCAATCAGGACCTGTATATATAATTAGTTAAACCAAAGTTGGTAATGACGGAATTGTTTAAGAAATATTATATGTCTATGCACCTTCCCCTGTTTATTAGATGATGATAAGACCCCGCCAACATGGAACTTGTTTTGATGTTTGTAGTCTTTAGTGATTGCTTTGGATCAAGGGTCAACAGCATTGTATATAACAATAATATATTCGTCCCCAGATACTCCTAAGTTTGCTGGTAAGCGTTATGTGAAGGACGGCGACACCGCCGTGGTCCTCATCTACGACGTCAACGGCTACATCGCGGGGATACAGGCGGGGGTAAGTGTACGACCTGATGTTCTCTCCTACCCGTGGAGATTCCGGGTTAGAATAGATCTTCAGCAACCTATGCTTGTCGTAAGAGGCGACTAACGGGATCGGGTGGTCAGACTCGCTGACTTGGTCGATGCATGTCATCGTATCCCAATTGCGTGGATTGATGCTCCTAATATCAATCACTGGATTGTCTGGTCCAGACTCGATTATTTACAGACCGTCGTCATATAGCTGAAATATTGCTGAGTGTGGCGTTAAACAACAAGCAAACAAACTAAACGATGTTCAATCCATACAAAATACAGGAATACGTTATTAATCTGTGTCCTATTTTGAAACAATCGCATTATATTACATTTTGAAAGTCAGTGTCAAGTTTCTTTTTTTGAAGAGTATATAATATCAAATCTGTTTGTTGTCTGTTGGCAGTTTCCCCCTCAGCCCAACAACTACCCGTCCCCCACCCTGCAGAACCACCCCTTCGTGGAGGACGACGGCAAACAGTACATCACTGTTTACTTCACTAATCCCAGTGAGTGAAGGGCTGGGGTGTATTTCACTGACATCACCATATAGTGATGCAGGTCTTAGACGTTTACCACAACCACGGGTACGGTGCTGACAAACCTCAAGTTATAATCAGGACGAACCGGGATTCAAACCCACCATCATACTCTTTATTAATTAATAGGTTTATGTTCTAATTTATTATGGAGAAACCCAGTTAGAATCGGCCTTCAGCAACCCATGCTGATGGTCAGACTCGCTGACTTGGTTGATGCACGTCATCGTATCTCAATTGCGTAGATCGATGATCATGATGTCAATCACTGGATTGTCTGGTTCAGACTTGATTATTTACAGAGCGCCGTCATATTGCTTAGGTGTGACGTTACACAACATACAAACAAACAAACAAACACGTGATGATGGAGAAAGCCAATAATGACAAAGGTCGTTGATGTTCGTAGTTCGGGTGAAACCCACGAGCAGGTGTATGGTCCTGACGAGGACGAATCAGTGCGAATCTGTACGAACCAACATCATTCAGACGTTGGAGGGACGCAGCTCTGCCAACGAATGCCGACACCTTAGACCACCGGGCTGTCTTTTATCGCCCGGTATAAGTGAGTGAGTGAGTTAGGTTTTTAACGCCGCTTTTAACAGTATTCCAGCTATACCGCGGCGTGACAGCTTAATGTGGGAGGAAAGCCCAAAGTGATGCAGGTCTAAGACGTTTACCACTGCGGTAAAAAAACCACGAGCACGGATATGGTGCCGACATTCCTATAAACATAATCGGGACGAACCGTGGTTCGAACCCACAAACAGATATATCGGGCGTGTCCAAGGGACGCAACACTGTACAGCGAATTGTGGCGCCTTAGATTACTGGGCCATCCGTGCCCTCCCCACCCCTTGTATCGTGTAGTTTCTGCATTGTATAGGTTGTATTGTACAAGCAGCATTTACAAATATGTGCATTTTCATAGTTTGTTTGAGTGCATCAGAGAACATCTTTCATTTCAATAGGATAACTTAAGTCTAGGCACTAATAAACCACACACCACAACTCCCATTTGCGCTGTAGAGGAGAAAACATATCTGATGCATCCCTTTCTTAGGTGGTATATGCAGTCGAGGAAGAACTTCCGCCATGTTCGAGAGCGAGGGCACCGGAAGTGACATGTACATCCAGAACGGCACGCGCCCATCAGACAGCACCAAGGTCCCCAAGCTGGAGAGGAATATTGGCTCCACACTGTGGACGAAGGGACACTGCTTCAGAACTATGGGTGAAGGAAATAGGATTTTTTCGTTTAACGCAGAACTATTAGTTAATTCATCAGCGTAATTGAAAGAAGTGGCCGAGGTTAAACTTTCCCGTCAAACCCATGGGTATGGTACTGACAAACCAAGGGTCACCCCCACCCCCCTGTACTTTACTTTACCAAGAAAGTGTTATCCCACATGTGTTAAATTTGACCGCTTTCTAAATGGCATTGTGTTCACATGTCACAGGGGTACACAAAGTGCGTGATCACCAGTTGTTGGACTTTCATTTTGTGGAAGCCTCTGTGTCTGAGTTGGTTAGATCGCTGACTTAGTGTTCAGGCGATTTGGTGCCTCACTCTGCCAGTGTGGGTTCGAATCCCGGACGGGACTCAACCCAAAAAAGTACGAGAATCTGTACTTTAAGTGTTATCCCAAATATGACATTTGTAACATTTGACCACTTGCTAAATGACATTGTGTGTTCCTATGATTATGAATGTTACTGCTGCAGGACAACACTACTGGTACAACCTGCGGAAGGACCAGAGTTGTGATGAGTTCTTCCCCATGTTCCTCCTCTACAACGAGGGCATCCTGGACGGCTTCGGGTGGGCGTTCTTGGCCAACCTCACCACATCCACAAGATATGAACACCCGCGTATGACAGCGTTCGCGGTATGTCTATCACAATAGAAAACATTTGTTACAGTAACATATTTAGTTCCATTCGTATTTGAGGATCTTTGCCAGCAAATAACTTTATCAAATATTACTTCGCTGAACGATACAAGTGAGTGAGTAAATATGGTTTAACGCCGCTTTGAGCAATACTCCAGCAATATCACGGCGGGGGACACCAGAAATGGGCTTCACACATTGTACCCATGTCTTCGAACCCGGGTCTTCGGCGTGACGAGCGAACGGTTTAACCACTAGGCTACCCGACCGCCCCCTGAACGATAAAAAAATGTAGCCAATCTTTCATCAAACAAATTGACGAGAGTATTGTATTTCTGTTTTCAGTATTTCCTGGACCCCGTGCCAGACTGTCTGTACACCCAGACATCGGGCACAACGACCATGCATATCTACATGTCGGACCCCAACTACTCCTTCTGCTGATTGGATGACAATGACACGTGACTTGAACCACGTGACTAGTGATGGTTCATCTCCTTAGAATGACAAATTCCTTCATTTCGAACAATTCTTCTTGCTGATTGGATGATAATAACAAGTGACCTGAATCACGTGTTGCCAATGATTATACATCTGTTTTCATTGGCTAGTGCTCTTTCATTGGCTAGTGTGGGAGATGTCTGCCGTGTATTTCATTTTGGTCAAAATCAATCTATTCTATTCTTGTGACTTTTACTGAAATAAACTGTCGAAAATGGTATAACATTTGTTACGATCTTAACGAGTTGACCGAGTCCTAATAAAAAGGTACTAACAGGATCAGATGTGGTTTCGACCTCGAGGAACTGTTACTTCGCCAGAGTCGGGTGAACCATGGCAGAGAGGTGCTGTGTTGTACAGCGGCCGTGTTGATGCTGGCCTCCCTATAAACACAATGTATGTATACATAATGCCAGACCGCCTCCGTGGTGTAGTGGACAGAGCGATTGCCCAAAGGGCGGAAGGGCGGGGGTTCGATCCCCTGACCTCCTCAAACCAAAAAGACGTTACAAGATGGTACTTGTTGTTACCCTGCCTGACGCTCGATATGAAAGGGATAAAACAAGGACTGATCGGCGCGGAGTCAGTATACTGTGCCTCAGTAGGGTATCCATGTTAAACCTGGGCACGGTTCATAGATCTCAGTGGATTAAGACCGTCAAGAGTACACACACACACACACACACACACACACACACACACACACACACACACACACACACACATACACACACACACGTCCATGCACGTCGCTAGATAATTTCAATAATCTGGAACGCCACCTCACCTCACCTCACCTCACCTCACCTCACCTCACCTCACCTCACCTCACCTCACCTCACCTCACCATAATGCCAACATACCCGCAGACTAAAAGTGTTCCATTGGTTCATCCATCTGAGCTACTTTAGCTGTTTCTATACATGAAGACGACAACTTTTAAATTTTGTTTCAGTCACAGTGACGACTTTTCCTTTTCTAGAAGTAGATGGTTCTTTTATAGATAGATCTTTTATAGATCCGACTGTGCACATGTAGCGGCCATAAAATTTCCGAGTCCCGTGATGGGATTCGAACCACGGACCTTCTGACCGAGGTCGGACGCCTTGTCCACATGACCAAAGAGGTTAACCCCGTCAGCAGGGTGACAAGGTAAGGATGTCATTTGTGGGATGACTCCACGCCCTGCTACACACATTGTCTATATGTCATTGGTTCATAAATCTTGAAGAGTTGATTACTAAAGATGCAACCTTGTACTGTAGGCTACCGACTGTACAAGGGAGGTAATAACATACCAACCATTTAACACAGAGATAACATGATATGCTACATTTCCTCTCTTATCCAAACCGATACAGGGGAGACATAAGTATTTTGTACATCTTCATTTTCGCCAAAGTCAACTAAGCGGCAGTAAAATCATCCAGTTTTAAGACTTAAGGAGCGTGAGGCTGGCCTCCGTCATGCATACAGACTGGCCCTCACTCTATGAAGGTTCATACTGCAAAGAGCTCACATTGAAAATCAGTTCTCATAATATTACATACCCATAATTTTGTTCATCAAAGGATGTTGAGACAATTTTACTCATGTGACTTCATGTTGATACAGCATAGAACAACCGGCTGTGTAAATCTTCCATGTCAGAATGGTGAGATCTGATTGGTCCACATGCTCTTGATGAAATACGTTACACCTCTATGTCAGAATGGTACGATCTGATTGGTCCACGTGATCTTGATAAAATACGTTACACCTCTATGTCAGAATGATGAGATCTGTTTGGTCCACGTGATCTTGATAAAATACGTTATTCATTTATGTCTGAATGATGAGATCTCATTGGTCCAAGTAATTGGTGAAGAGTACCATTACGTAATCAACTGTAATTTATCTTTAACCTTATGCGCTGAATGAGTTAATGAATACTATACACACTGGCTACACATAAGTAGATATCGTAAACTGCTCACAAATGGTAAAGTAGGTACTTTAAAAAAAGCCTCTCCAAGTTCCTCAGACATTTGAATGCTATACTGTGACGTATTCTTCAATATATGCCATCAAGCTGTACATCTAGTACTGTAGGTTTTGTTATTGTACAACTCATGTACCACCGATGGTTGTTGTCAAGTAATAAGAAAGAGAGAGAGAGAGAGAGAGAGAGAGAGAGAGAGAGAGAGAGAGAGAGAGAGAAAGAGAGAGAGAGAGAGAGGGTGGCAGGGAGGGAGGGAGAGAGAGAGGGAGGGAAAAAAAGAAGTCCCTGGGGAAACATTTGTTTTTCGCGTAACCCCAAACCACGAGTGCTCCCTCGCGGTGAGGGAACACCCGTCCCGGCTTGGGTCCAATCACTCGGGCGAGCGCCCGTCCGACCGCGAGGAGCCTCGCCACGTCGGCTTGGGTCAAGCAGAAAGCGAGTGAGTTAAATTTTTGACGGCACGTCGGCATTATCAGGCGAAAAGATGACTGTTTAGCTTAAATTCTTCAAAATAATATTTCATACTTCTTAGACACCAGAAGAATGATTGGTTAAATGGGGTGTAATTAAGCCAATTTATAAGAAGGGTAACCCTTGGTTACCAAACAACTACAAACCACTTCCACTAACACTTCTAAGATGCTTGGGTAAAGTTTTCACTTTTCTTGTTAACAGTATATTCACTACTTTCATTGAAGTAAATGGATATTATTTTATCTGAAGTCTAAACTGGTTTCAGAAAGAACTACTCTGCAACTCAGAGTGCTGGCGCCAGCCTACAGGATGGCAACAACTACCACACCAAATCAGAATCAGTCGTTCGGCAAGCAGCTTTCGTAGAGAAAGATGAAATGTGGATTGAGAGATCTGGCAGCTATGTTGGGATGATCTTGTGTGAGATTTGATGATTTTGTCAAATGTACATCTATTGAGTAAATTAAAAGTGTCCAAGTTTTTCCAATATTTAGTGTTGTCTTTTTGAACAGGATGATATATAATATTTACTTTCCCCTGATCATAGTTCTAAACTGTTACTCTTTCTGGAACTGGTAAGCACAAATTACCAATAGAAACAGGCCGATGGGAAATTATATCACGGGAACAAAAGATATGTATATTGTGTGACTGCCAAGTAATTGGTGACGAGTACCATTATATATTAAACTGTAATTCCTCTTTATCCTTATGCGCTTTATGAGTTAATGAATACTACCCACACTGGCTAAACATAAGTAGATATCGTAAACTGCTCACAAATGGTAAAGTTTATACTTTAAAAAAGCCTCTCCAAGTTCCTCAGACATTTGAATGCTATACTGTGACGTATTCTTCAATATATGCCATCAAGCTGTACATCTAGTACTGTAGTTTTTGTTATTGTACAACTCATGTCAGAATGGTAGGATCTGATTGGTCCACGTGATCTTGATAAAATACGTTACACCTCTATGTCAGAATGATGAGATCTGATTGGTCCACGTGATCTTGACAAAATACGTTACACCGCTATGTCAGAATGGTAGGATCTGATTGGTCCACGTGATCTTGATAAACTACATTGCACTTTTATGTCAGAATGATGAGATCTGATTGGTTCACGTGATCTTGAAAAAATACGTCACACCTCTATGTGAGAATGGTGAGATCTGATTGGTCCACATGATCTCGATAAAATAAAGTCACGATATGGCTGAAATAATGCCGATGTGACTTTAAATTTTAACTCACTCACTTGATAAAATACGTTACACCTCTATGTCTGAATGATGAGATCTGATTGGTCCACGTGATCTTGATAAAATACGTTGCACCTCTATGTCTGAATGATGAGATCTGATTGGTCCACGTGATCTTGATAAATTACGTTACACCTCTATGTCTGAATGATGAGATCTGATTGGTCCACGTGATCTTGATAAAATACGTTGCACCTTAATTTCAGATACATTTGTGTCTTGATACATTTACTATCACGTCACAATGCCCGACATGATAAATAGAAACATGTGACCAATAGGTATGGTCATCATTCATAGTCATCATTGAATATTTTTTTTTAATTTGACGTTTACACGATATGGGGCTTTTCCATTGGAGGTATGTCACATTACCGCGAAATTGACGTTCATACGTTGTTCACGAGACGAACACTGACGGACTACTTCCAAATTCCTGGGGAAACCCCTGGGAATTCCCTAACACGAAGACAAACTAACATAAGCGTTCTTTCTGATAATTTAGAACCTTTAATCTTGGTCTCAGCGTTTCAGTATACATTGAGAAACGTAAGAGAGCGTGACTGCATGATTGTTCACGAATATCCTCGCTACGGCCCATCCTAAACAAACGAAGAAATGCACATCCAAACTAACGTAGTATCGACTTGATCCGTGTCTCGTCTATCTTTTTGATAGACACGTATTTCGAAATGTACTCTACACTTTATATGAGTTCGTTTGAGAATTGAAACAGTGGGGTGGCCTTGTGGTTACAGTGTTTGCTGGTCATCCGAAGACCCGAGTTCGATTCTCTGCAGTAGCACAACACCATGCTCACTCGCTGGTCGTCGTCTGCTTCACAACACTGCTCGTGTTCTTAAGTACAGTTGAACTGCAGACGCCTACTTGAGTTCAACATGGCATCATTAATTGTGGTGACTGAACCAACAGACGGAATGTCGTAAAGGGCATGCGCCGTTAAAGAGCTGATTACAACCCGGGAGTTATTAGAATCTTAATTGAAACGTGCTTTATTTGGTGATACATTCTTACGTCATTTACTTGTACTTGGTGTGTGTTGCTGAAGCCGTACAACAACAGCCCCCATACTTCAGAACCCCAGGCTTTAAAAGTGAAACATCGTCAGTTCGGACAGACCAGTTCTAAGAACGCGGATTATAGAACAGTGTAGAGCAACAGAGCACATCTACTATTGCGTTTGGCACAGGAAACGTTAGAAATAGGCGTCATGTTTCATTCCATGTTGCTGTTGCTGTGGGCCGCTGCAGGATGTCTTGGGGGTAGGTGTTTTTGCTTGTCTGATGTAGCACCGACCATTTCTCCGAACGCCCAACATAGATTATTACACACACACGTACACTCACGCACGCACGCACGCACGCACGCACGCACGCACGCACGCACGCACGCTCACACACACACACACACACACACACACACACACACACAACCAGAATATCAAATAGTCGGCCAACTAAAAGTATCAAATATATGCGTTTAAAACTGTATGCTGATAATAACAGAAGTAAGCAATGTGTTTTGAGATTGAATTCAATATTGTTTCAGGTTTAGTTTGTTGTTAACCGTTACACTGAATTTTGTTTTCCAGCGCCCGAATGGGAAACGTTGCAAGGTAGACCTTCTTGTTTCACTGACGACATGCCGCCTTGATATAGCTGTGATCTTGCTGACTACAGGTCCCTGTGATATATCTGTAATGTTGCTGACTACCAGCCTCCATGATATAGCTGTGATCTTGCTGACTACAGGTCCCCGTGATATAGCTTTAATATAACTGACTACAGGTCCCCGTGATATATCTGTAATATTGCTGACTACGGGTCCCCGTGATATAGCTGTAATTTTGCTGACTACAGGTCCCCGTGATATAGCTGTAATATTGCTGACTACAGGTCCCCGTGATATAGCTGTAATATTGCTGACTACAGGTCTCCGTGATATAGCTGTGATATTACTGACTACAGGTCCCCGTGATATAGCTGTAATATTGCTGACTACAGGTCCCCGTGATATAGCTGTAATATTACTTACTACAGGTCCTCGTGATAATTTTGTTATATTACTGACTACAGGTGCCCGTCTTATAGCTGTAATTTTGCTGACTACAGGTCCCCGTGATATAGCTGTAATATTACTTACTACAGGTCCTCGTGATAATTTTGTTATATTACTGACTACAGGTCCCCGTCATATAGCTGTAATTTTGCTGACTACAGGTCCCCGTCATATAGCTGTAATATTACTGACTACAGGTCCCCGTGATGTAGCTGTGATATTGCTGACTACAGGTCCCCGTGATGTAGTTGTGATATTGCTGACTACAGGTCCCCGTGATATAGCTGTAATATTGCTGACTACAGGTCTCCGTGATATAGCTGTGATATTACTGACTACAGGTCCCCGTGATATAGCTGTAATATTGCTGACTACAGGTCCCCGTGATATGGTTGTAATATTACTGACTACAGGTCCCCGTGATTAAGCTGTAATATTGCTGACTACAGGTCCACGTGATGTAGCTGTAATACTGCTGACTACAGGTCCCCGTGATATAGCTGTAATATTGCTGACTACAGGTCCCCGTGATGTAGCTGTAATATTGCTGACTATACCGGCCTCCGTGATATAGCTGTAATATTGCTGACTACAGGTCCCCGTGATATAGTTGTAATATTGCTGACTACAGGTCCCCGTGACATAGCTGTAATATTGCTGACTACCGGCCTCCGTGATGTAGCTGTGATATTGCTGACTACAGGTCCCCGTGATATAGCTGTAATATTGCTGACTACAGGTCCCCGTGATATAGCTGTAATATTGCTGACTACCGGCCTCCGTGATGTAGCTGTGATATTGCTGACCACAGGTCCCCGTGATATAGCTGTAATATTGCTGACTACCGGCCTCCGTGATGTAGCTGTGATATTGCTGACTACAGGTCCCCGTGATATAGCTGTAATATTGCTGACTACAGGTCCCCGTGATATAGCTGTAATATTGCTGACTACAGGTCCCCGTGATATAGCTGTAATATTGCTGACTACAGGTCCCCGTGATATAGCTGTGATATTACTGACTACAGGTCCCCGTGATATAGTGATATATATATGACTGTAGTTACACTGGTGGTTGATACGTTTGCTGTACTTTTGCTGACTGCGTCATTAAACCTCAATCACATCTATACTCCTCCGAAAATATTTTGGGGCCCTTGTTGGTTTGGTTATGGTGAACATTTCTGAACTGCTCCAGTGACGTGGGCTCCACCCGGCAGCACCAGCAACACCGGCTTCGACAACATGCCCCGGACCGAGGCCCATGCCGTGACGGAGGGCTGGTCCAAAGTGTCGGACTGTCAAGGTCTGCATCAGCAAGTGTTAAAAGTGCCCAAACAGACGCTCAAATCACTTGGTTTCAGAACGTTTGCTCGTGCACGCCTGTACTATTGAATTATCTCCTTTTGCCTATCCGGAGATATCCATCTTTTGGCTCTTTGTTCAGACTGCTCTTAAATCTCTACATTTCATTTTCATTTTACACGCAGTGCTGCCTTTGAGTGAGGCTCTGAGATAATAGAAATTTTATTTAATGCAATATATTGATGATACCTATAATAATAATAATAATAATAATAATAATAATAATAATACATGTAGTATAAAAAATAGATAATAATTCAATTGAAATAAAAACAATAATGTAATCGCTACATACAATATCCGGCCAGAAATCCTGACAATTACTCAAATCAATTGCATCATGTAGCGCCTTAGCAATTCTAGTTGTCTTTGGTTTCTTACATTTCAGAAACCCCTAAGTTTGCTGGTAAGCGTTATGTGAAGGGCGGCGACACCGCCGTGGTCCTCATCTACGACGTTAACGGCTACATCGCGGGGATACAGACCGGGGTTAGTGTACGACCTGATGTTTTTGATTCGCATCCGAGGATTTTCCTAAGATACAGATGGGTTTAGTGCCGTCTCATTCCTCGGCACCACGGTAGACATGTAACGTGGTACAGTAAGAAGGACCAGTGTAATCCCATGACCACTAATTCAACGACTTATGAGAGATGTCTATCAATATAAATATACTAATAGTCAGTCATTAACATAACACAATAACCGTTGTTCGTGACACCAGCGCCGTCTACGGGAGACGTCATGGCGGGTTCTGGCAACGTGAAAGGTTAAATCTCGTCCTGAAGACATAATTATAACAGAAGGAAACTTCATTAATATAAGCATTCATTGAGAAGTCCTTCTCATACATCGTCGTTCACTGAACATGGCGTGAGAACATGAATTTCATCTCCCATTTTTTTTAAACCGATGACAAACACTATCCAAACAGGTTATTTGTCCTTGCGCCACATTGGGCATGGTAAGTGAGTGAGTGAGTTGGGTTTAACGCCGCTTTGAACAGTACTATTTGGTGAAACCCACGAGCAATACCAAACGTGCAATACCAATTGGTTGGTTGCGTTTCTTTCAAAAACATCTTCCAAAATAATCGAGAGCCATGCAAAGGTTTGTAATTGAAACATGGTCACGTCACAGTTACTTTTGCATGTGAATATAGTTTCGTCATGTCAGGTTACCCCGTGTTTTTTCACTCAAGTAAAATACCGATTATATATTTTCAAATACAATTTATAAGTCATCTGGATGATTAAAAGAAGTATAATTTTCCCACTACGTTATATCCAGTTTGTGTGCGTCGAAGTAATGTTTGAATGATATACAGTTCGACACAATCGTTTTATTTCCTACCTTTTCACATCCAGTTTGAGAGCGTCAACGGGTACCCATACGTCGGCTTGTTGGACCAGCCCTTCGTGGAGTATAACGGCAAGGAGTACATCACGGCCTATTTCCTGGATCCAAGTAACGATCATTTTACTTCAATGCACCTTTCTGAAATATTGCAACCATAATATTTTCAGATTACCGGTAGTTATTGAGTATTCTGTTGAAAAGACCATTCGGAACCGACGGCAGTAGTTGGAAGCTCCAAGTGTAGCATAACAATCCGGTCATACGCATCGTATCTTCAACAATGTATCTTCGGTTCAGGTGTACTGTGACCTCCATGTGTCGTCACAGCCCATGCAGACTTGTTTTGGTTACCTGCATGGGGACTACCAATGTACAAATTTAGAAATAATTCGAATTGAAAAATAACACTTTCGGATTGTTTTTAATATTGATTGTAAGAACATCCTCGCATTGCACCGTTCACCAAGCTTCTGGAATTAGATAATACTTCATTAAACTATTCACAGGTTCATATCACACACACACACACACACACACACACACACACACACACACACACACGTGTCCACTGAACACACACACACACGTGTCCACTGAACACACACACACACGTGTCCATTCAACACACATACACATGTGTCCATTGAACACACACACACACACACACACACACACACACACACACACACACACACACACACACACACACACCTACGTGTTTGATCCTGTGTCTCTTGAACACACACATTTGTTCCTTGATCACACACGTGTCCATTGATGGGATGCTACTTGTTACTTCCAGGCACCATCTGCAGCCGAGGAAGAACTGCACAAGAGTTTGCGACAGATGGAACTGGGAGCGACCTCTGGATTCAGAACAGCACCCAGCCCCGCGACAGTTATAAAGTTCCCCGACTGGAGAGCGATATTAGCGGCACCCTGTGGGACAAAGGACGTTGCTTCAACACTATGGGTACGTGTCACGCAAAGTTCTGAATGTATATTGCTCAATAAATGCTAGGGAGAACATCCCAACTTAGCACAAATCACTCTCTACGGGATATGGCACACTGCTTCAGGAACTTGGTACTGTGACAATGGTTAACTCACACTGTCGAACATGTCATACTGTTCAATAAACGCTAGGGACAACATCCAACTGAACACTAACACGCCACTAGGTAGGCACAATGAGGAATATAATTAAGGCTTACCTAAGAGCACGTTAAACCTATCAGTGTATGTTCAATAATCGCTAGGGACAACATCCAACTGAACACTAACACGCCACTAGGTAGGCACAATGAGGAATATAATTAAGGCTTACCTAAGAGCACGTTAAACCTATCAGTGTATGTTCAATAATCGCTAGGGACAACATCCAACTGAACACTAACACGCCACTAGGTAGGCACAATGAGGAATATAATTAAGGCTTACCTAAGAGCACGTTAAACCTATCAGTGTATGTTCAATAAACGCTAGGGATAACCTGCCAATTTACCGATACAAATAGCTCATCACTAAGCATTTCATGATACACTGTTCAATAATTGCTGGGGATAGTCATTGATAAGTGTGGACAGTCTATGGGTCTATGGATACAACATTTAGACTGGTTATTACGTGAGATATCGCTTGGTTAAATCCTCTGTTACACTATCAAAAACTTTTATCAAACTCTTAGACAAAGTCCATTTTGACCAAGTTTTTGATAGTGTAACATACTGTCAAAAACTTTGACAAAGGTTTTGACGGGACTTTGATGGAATAGAAACCGATCCTTTTTCTCGTCAAACTTTGATTAAAGTTTGATGACGTTGATTTAATTTAACCAATCAGACTGCAAGGAACATTTACCCCTTTTCAACCGGAAGAGCATAGAGTCAAGTCAAAATGAGTCAACTATTTCGGACTGACGACATGTTGGAAGAATTAATTGATTTGTTCCAACAACCAGCAGCATGATGATGAGTGTTAACAGCCCAACTTGGACCAAGAAAACCTGGTCAAAGTTTTCTTTGACCAAGTTTTTGATCAAAGGTTTTGATAGTGAAAGATCCTTTGCAGATCATTGTGACGTCATCGGTTAGCATGACGTACCCTACTAATTTGCTTCTTATATCACAGTTCTAGTCTATGTCGTTTTATATCATATCACGGATAGTGTTATCCATGCGATAAACTTGATATCACAATCCGACAAACATGTAAATGAGGCAACATTTTGGGAATCACTATCAATCACCTCTATTCATTGATATGTGGGTCTTTATGTACAAAAAATGGTGCAAATAATTATATATGAGACATCGGGCGGTTCCCCTCTAACAATGTATTCATGCGCAGTTTTGTTAGATATAAGTTACTTCATCAGTTCAAATTAAGTCACATACATCGATTGTTTTAAATATGACACTGCAAAAGATATCATAATACAATTTGTATTTCTGGTATGCGATATTTATCCTGGTATGCGATTGATAATCTCCATATCCAAAGTGATGTTTAACAGTGTGATTTACACGAGTCTATGTCCTATACCGCAGACTATACTACAGTCGATATCCTATACCACAGTCTATATCCTATACCGCAGTCTATATCCTATACCGCAGACTATACTGCAGTCGATATCCTATACCACAGTCTATATCCTATACCGCAGTCTATATCCTATACCGCAGACTATACTACAGTCGATATCCTATACCACAGTCTATACCCTATACCGCAGTCTATATCCTATACCGCAGTCCATACCCTATACCACAGTCTATATCCTATACCGCAGTCTATATCCTATACCACAGTCTATACCATATACCGCAGTCTATATCCTATACCGCAGTCTATATCCTGTACCACAGTCTATATCCTGTACCACAGTCTATATCCTGTACCACAGTCTATATCCAATGTCTCAACCTATATCCTATACCACAGTCTATATCCTATACCACAGTCTATATCCAATGCCTCAACCTATACCCAATACCACAGTCGATATCCTATACTGCAGTTTATATCATGTACCAGTCTATAGCCAATGCTTCAGTCTAGATCATATAGCAGTCAATATCCTATACTGCATTCTATATTTTATACCACAGTCTATATCCTATGCCGAAGTCTATATCCTATATCGCATTCTATATCCTATATAACAGTCTATATCCTATACCACAGTCTATACCGCAGCCTATAGCCTTTACCGCATTCTATGCCCTATACCGAAGTCTATATCTTATACTGCAGTTTATATACTATACCACAGTCTATATCCTATTCCGCAGTCTGTACCCTAAACTGCAGTCTATATCTTATACTGCAGTTTATATCCAATACCACAGTCTATATCCTACCCCGCACTTTATATCCTATACCACAGTCTATATACTATACCGCAGACTATAGCACAGTCTATATCCTATGCCGAAGTCTATATCCTATACTGCATTCTATACCAAAGTTTATATCCTATACCGCATTCTATACCCTATATTGCAGTCTATATCCTATATATCAGTCTATATCTTATACCGCAGTCTATATCCTATACCGCAGTCTTCATCCCAAACCGTCTATATCCTATACCGCTGTCTCTACCCTATACCGCAGGTGAACACTACTGGTATGACGCCCGGCTATACTCGCCCTGTAACAAGTTCTTCCCAGTGTTCCTGCTCTATAATGGCGGACGACTTGACGCATTCGGTTGGGCTTTCATGGCAACCATAGCCTCTCCTCGCTTTGAATATCCACCGAGTCGCGCGTTCGGGGTAAGTCTCCATTTGATCCACCCGTCGACAGATGTTTTGCAAATCTTTTCACGTTTTTAATCAACGTGCTCGCATGATTTGATGCACTTCGCGAAGAAAGACTTTTATTACAATAGATATCTTGATCACCGATCAGATCTTGACTGGGCTATTTTGTTTGAAGCAGATGCAAGTAGTATGAGAGGTGGAATCTGATTGGCCAATAGGAGGGGCATAGAAGGGACATAAGTCGTAATAGCCACTGGTGGCGCTACGATCGAGCCTGGAAATTGCAGACTAGTTCGGCAAGGGTGAAAACTGGACTTTTATAGTCAGTTAACGTCAGTTAACGCCGGGAAGATGCGTAATAAGTTGCTTGGGACGTATTCTATCCCGGAATCCCCTCGCAGTGATATTGCTGGAATTTTGCTTAAAACGGCATTAATCCATACTCACTCACTCTAACCCAGGCTCCCCACGGGGATCTACTGACATGGCCAATGACGTATCATTGTACCGACGGCGTGGTCATGCTATCGACCTCTCGTTTGCCTGGTTCTGTCTACCTGATACATATTTTCCCGAACCATGCGACGTCCGATGCACGGCACAGACTATATCAATGTCATTACACTCATCAGATATTCGGGCTCAGGAGAACCATACCAGACAACGCTTGAAAAAAAGTTTGACAAAGTTCTCGAGCCAAAATTTGAAAACTGAACAGAAGAAGATTCCAGAATGTCTAAGCATGGCCGAGATTATATGACAGTACTTTTCAAGGCCTGTTGAGAATCTTCCTCTTCAGATGTTTATCCAACTTAGTGAAAGACAGACGACGTCTAGCATTCGGAAACAGTCGTACAGCCCGTAACTCTCGTTCGGAATGCCCCATGTGGACCTTTTCGTGGTTGCACGATTAGATCTTATTCCTGGCCAACTCGTGTTATTCCGTGTTATAGGCCCAGACGACTCCAGGGTCAAATTTAGGGGGAGTCGTTTGAGCCTACTACACCGGGACAAGCCGATCTTCTTGCAGGTTACGGAAAGAGGCGAGTGGTGACGAATGGATTAGATTTGCATCCTGATCTGGTAAGCGACGCTCTGATTGGTCGGATGAAAGGTCGTTTTGCGTGACCCGTAATGGGATGTCCTCAGGTCTTTGTTAAAAGGCGGAAGCAAAAAGATTGTATTTTAATGAGAATGGTTCACGTGGAAAGCTACACGTCTTTATTCCTTGATTAATTTTAGATTCCGATTTTGTATAATTGAAATCAGTGTCAGCCCACTTGAACCGATTCAGCTAGCCGATGTGGACCAGGACGTTTGTAACACAGACAAAAAAGCCATCGGTTGCCAAGTGTGTTTGTCCGTGGGTTCGAGTTTCTGATTCGCTCTCATTACGTTTCTAGGTTTGTCTGCACCATGTTGACAGGGAGTACACGACCGGCTTCGCTTCGGGCTGTCTTCACAAACCATGCTGACGCATCGGGGTGTAGCTGGAATACCGTTTGAAGCGTCGTCAAACAAACTCACTCACACTAACACATAGTTCAGTCTTCATTTTCACTTTCAGTTTTTCCTGGACCCGGTGCCTCGCTGCCTCTACACACACACAGCGGGAGTAACAACTCTGCACATCTTTCTCTCCAGTCCGAGGTTGTCGACATGCTGATTGTATGTGTGTGGAGCCCATGTCTGTGTCTCTAACTGCTGAAAGAAGCGTAAACCTTTACACACTCACTCACAAGTGGACATTGTAATATATGCTTGTTACCCTGTAATAAAACCGGGTCAGAATATACGTCACCACTGCCTCATGTTTGTGTGTGGGTGGTGGGGTAGCCTAGTGGTTAAAGCGTTCGCTCGTCACTCAGACAACCCGGGTTTGATTCCCAACATTGGTACAATGTGTGGAGTCCGTTTTCTGGTGTCCCCCGTCGTGATATTGCTGGAATATTGCGAAAAGCGGCCTATATCCATAATCACTCACACAATCACTCACATGGTTGTGGACATCGTATGGTCCTACTGTGTGACTTACGTGTCATCACACCCCGATGGTGTTGAACATCACTGGTTTGCCGGGTCCAGACTCGGTCATAAAAAGGCTGTTGTCATGTATCTGGAATTTTATTGAATGCGGCGTTGAACAACATTCACTCACTCATTCTTCATTTGTTGAATTCACAAGACTTAAACATGATTAACTGGTGTTTACCATAAAGAGAGTGTCTCGCAATGGTATGGTCAACATGGTTCAATGTTTCACAGTCTGTGATTACCATACTATGGAACAGGTATCAACAAACCCAAACTAGTGACGATCGACCCCGTTCAGGGCGTCCCAGGTCAACGACAAGAGTGCAGAATCGAGGGTACACAACGTCGAAACTAGGGTCATCGTCACTGGTCACGTGTCATGTTTCCAGATGAGTCCCGAATCACTTTGCACCTCATTGATAGGCGTGGTCGTGTCTGGCGACGTCGAAATGAATGTCAAGTCATTGTCAACCTGAGACCTCATGACAGATTTGGCGTTGGATCGGTAATGGTGTGAGGTGGCATCACTATGACTGAGCGAACCCCTCTCCATATTGTGCAAGGAAGCGTCACTGGACAGTTCTATCGGGACAACTTACTGACATGCACCTTTTGTTATCCCGTTTGCAAGGCGCGTGGGTCGACAACGCCCGTGCTCACAGAGTACGAATCGCCAATGCTCACCCCCAGCAGCACAACATCCATAGATTCCCCCCCCCCCCCCCCCCCCCCCCCCCCACACACACACACACACACACACACACACACACACCCCACACACACACACCCAATGGTATTACCCACTACTGATCCAAAAAAGTCAAGTTTGAAATTTCCCATCTTACCCCTATCGCCATTCAAAATCTTTGGCGGTAATAACATCTACTGTCATACGTCACTTCCGGTTGTAATGTTTTCCCGAGTTGTTTATTGTTATCATACAACTGCTAGAAACTAATATATTAAATTATTGTCGAGTATCCCCAACATATTTTGAAGACTATACACACGAGAGCGGAAGGCCATGAAGCACCCGTGAAGAGGCGGGTTAGAATTGGTCTTCAACAACCCATGCGTGTCGTAAGAGGCGACTAACGGGATTGGGTGGTGAGGGGCGCTGACTTGGTTAATGCATGTCATTGCATCCCAATTGCGTGGATCCATGCTGATGATGTCAATCACTGGATTGTCTGGTCCAGATTCGATTATTTACAGTCCAACGTCATATAGCTGGAATATTGCTGAGTGTGGCGTTAAACAATAAACAAACAAACAAAACAAAGCTATGAAACCATCTCGGCAGTACCTCTCGCTACAAGAAAGAGGGTGCTACAAGAGCAGGGTGCTACACGCGACAGGGTGCTACAAGAGCAGGGTGCTACAGGAGCAGGGTGCTACACTGGGTTGTGGGAAACTAGGGCGTTAACACAGCGAGTTCGGGTCCGGATACGGAGTCTTTGTAAGTGTGAATGACAGTGATAAATCAGAGCTACCATTTGGTCTTGTTACCGATTCCGCGAAGTTTCAGGGTGAAGCGTCTGTAAAATACTGTATATTGGTGTTCTCCCGGTATCTAACCAACACGCATGGGCTACCATTGACATTGAAAGCAATTAATTTTATTTTAGATTTTTTTTAACTAAATCCCCTTTTTACTACAGGTTTAATCTTACAACTGTATGTTTCTGTCAGACTGGCAGGTGACATACATGTATTTTGTCAATGATGTTTAGCGTGCCGAATGATAGGGGCACCCTCGTAGACCCAAATGACCCCCCAGGCTCAAATCACTCCCTTACTGTTTCAAATGTCCATGATTGATTGTATATTCTGGTATGTTTGTGTATATATTTATGGTTGGTGACGTGGGGTATTTCCCACCTCTCATGTTGTTGCGTGGCTTTCTCCGACATTTTGCACCCTGAAGCGCCCTGTAGTGAGTGAGTGAGTGAGTAAGGTGTTGCGCCGCTTTTAGCAATATTCCAGCAATATCACTGCGGGGGACACCAGAAATGGGCTTCACACTTTGTACGCATGTGGGAAATCGAACCCCTGCCTATGGCGCGACCAGCGAACGCTTTAACCACTAGGCTACCCCACCGCCCCTGATGCGCGCTGTACATGTGGCAACGACTTCGAGGGTCCGTATGACTACATATTTATTTGTCCATTCTTTACAAACTTAAGAAAAATACGATTGTTTTTAAAAAAATAAATTAACAATTCGACTGATGAAACCTATTTGACGGTGATTATCATACAATCGGAACTGAACAATCTACTCTGCATTCCGCAGATAAATCTTATGATTATGGAAATGGTGTTGTCGTTTACAATTAAGAAATTGTATAAAAACTTGTTGAAACAGTTGTTTTAGGTGTGGTTTTTTTAATGTTTATGTTTATATTTTGTTCCTACATGGAAATGATTTTATAATATATGTTACCTTTCCTAGCTTGTACATATGTTAGTAAAAGTGCACGCCCCCTTCAAACAAACACAGGCAAAACAAATGCAACATCTTCGTGGGCATATGACCCGAATCTCAACTGAGTACTTTGTGTGTAGAAACAGCTCCAGATATCAATACTCCGGTGATGCGTCACAAACATGGCGTCGCCTTTGTCATTCGGCGATCGAGTCAGAATTAACCATCGGGAATCTGGAGAGACTACTCAGATAATTGCTAACATTATCAAAAGAACAGTCTAACATACAGAAAATCATTGTCTAACTGTGACTTAGCTAAGGCATTTTAAAAGTTTTGGCAACTTTGGATAAATCATATATATTGCGAAACAATCCCAGCTTGCAGACAAGAATTCAAAGCGCTTTCAGGTTCGCCACTATTTAGCGTTGAAAACACTAGGCTGGTATTCTCAAGCATTGGCGTTTTATATTTCTTAGACAATGGTTGTTTACATCACGAATATTGATTGATACAGATATCAATATATGTATCGTCTGGGTTTGTATGATATGGATATTTGATATTAGCCGGGACACACATTTCAGCGAGCGATAGCTGTGGTTTAACGATATTTTATTCAGGAATCAATAGTTTAAATTAGTTACCTGTAAAGACAACTAAATGCTTGCATCTCCTTTTCAAATAACATGTGTTTTTATACACCAAAATGTTTCCGAAATAAATTGATGTTTTCTGTTATACTTGCCTTCAAGCCAGACGCGGATTGTTTTCAATCAGCTATATAGCCGTCGTGTGCATGATAGACACATGTAGTGTACAGTACTGTGTGGAATTGAATACGATATTGAAATAATGAAAGTGTACCTGAGGCGAGACAATTCTAACACTATACTATACTATACTAATTATATAGACAATATATGCTGCTATCTATTCTATTGCTATCACGTTTTCGCGTCACGCTTCCTGTTTATGTCGTCATTCTATTTTATGTTGGTTAGACTGTATAACTGGAGCGGGCGCGTGCCTGACTCATATCACATTTCATCTGACATTACATCCACTACTGCGTCAGCCGCTGTGGAAGATGACTTTATCTCACCGGATTCCCAGCCTTGGCCTATCTCGAAAGCTTGACCTCTGTTGCGGATAGGTGAATATTATTACCACCGAACTTTTCTATATCACCACTGCCACCATATGTTGTATGCTTGTCGTAAAAGGCGACTAACGGGATCGGGTGGCCAGGCTCGATTGCCCAATTGCGTGGATCGATGCTCATGATGTCAATCACTGGATTGTCTGATCCAGACTCGATTATTTACAGACCGCCGTCATATAGCTGGAATATGGCTGAGTGCGGCGTTAAACAACAAACCAACCAACCAACCAACCATATGTTGTATTTGATACTGCCATTATATAATGTACTACCACTCTATTGCATCCTGCCATTGTAACTGCTGTGCAATGGATTGTATTGACTTGTAAACCTAGGTAATAATGTAATCCAACTGTTGATTGTAAACCCTTTGTTGGTTGTTTGTTGCTTTCACACTATTTTCCATTAGGCACAGATGTCTGGGTCAACTGATAGTTTCAATTTGGGAATCGACATGTTACAGTATGAATGTCGCCCGACATTCCTACAGATTGGTCCTAACTCTATCAAGGTTCATACTCCAATGAACTCACACAAAGTGAAACTCAATGCTTACATTTCTTATTATCAATGATATTTTGAAGTAATGTGGCTTAATTGGTTGCGATCAATTCATAGTCACTTCACATTTGCATCGTCACCTTTCACGCAACTTATTTGAATACGGGTTTTGCTTCCTGTATCAGAGGCGTGCCAATTATTTCCTGTATTTTTAATCCCTTTATTTTTTTTATAAATCATGTCATACAGTTGTAGAATGAATGTCATATGAAAATCATTTCTTCGAGCATTGTCCTCGTCGTGTAGCTTTCTGAAACAACCTTGAAACAGGTTCAATTGTTGGTTAGGCTGCTTGCTAAATGTGTCGGTACAGTCTCCTTCAGTCTCCTTCCCATAGACTTCTATGGTATCGTGTTATACTTATTTTTGAAATAACAAGGCATTCAACACCCATTACATGTCATATATATGCACAGTCTGGCCTAAAAGCTGCAGTAAAAACACACATTTTGGCTAGGTTTACCAGCTCCTGTTCCGGGTACAAGCTGAACACACTACCCCCAGTTCCGCTCCAAATGTCACCAACTTGAACATATCTGTACTCACAGTCAGCACAAGTCATCTTGTTACAAAATGTCCGCAGCAATTATTGAAGAATACGGTAAGTTTTAA